GTGTGTGTGTGGGTGTGTGTGTGTGTGTGTGTGTGTGTGTGTGTGTGTGTGTGTGTGTGTGTGTGTGTTGATAAGATGACCTCAGTCCTGTCTGTGTGTCTGTTCTGATAAAGAGCAGCGTAAGAGTGAACAGTTATATATCAAACATACTATCCAATTTTCAGTAGTACGTGTTAACTAAGTTGACTGTGATGCTCATCTCAACCTTTGATTCATGGTGCCCAAATGAAGACCTTCCCTAACGGAAAGCACTGATAGAGTGTAAATCCACCATTAATCCACTTTTGCCAACTGGCTCAAGAAGTCACAAGCTGTGTTTTTTAGTCCATAAGAGTGTGAAGTACTTTTTCCCCCATCAGTCAGAAATAAATTACACTGATATAATAGGTTGACAGTAAGAGGCGAGCTGTACATAAACTATTTTATTAACCACAACAATTCAATCAAAAATTAGTATAATTCAGTGAATTTAACATGACTATTCCAACCATAAGGATTACATAATAATGGACCTAATCACAGTTTACATGTGCTCTGTTGACACCATGACTCGTCCCCACTTCAATATTCAGATTAGTAGATTATTGAAATGGTTGATTTTTAAGTTATTATTATTAATAATAAATTACATTTATTTTTATTTTTTAAATATATATTTTTTATATATTATAGATATTATTTTTAAATGTATATTTAATATAATTTGACTTTGAATGTTATTTTAATTTGGAATAAGAGTATCCGACCAACTAAAACTTAAAAGTTAAACAACTTACTTTTATGAAGAGCTCGATTCGTGGTTCTTTATCTGAGTCTTGTCTGAGTGCCATTTTCTTTTTCAGCAGGAAAAAGATTTTAGTCAGTCCAGACCTCTGTGAAAAGTATTCCACAAATGAACCAGAGAGTTGAAGATCCCCAAAAGATTCGTAAGCAGCTGTAATGTGTGAAAGTTATTCAGATTCTTGCTTTCTGCTGTTTCCCTCAGGCAACAGACTTTAAAAGTCAGGAGGGAGGGAGGCTAGAGAGGATGGGCGTGACCCTTACTATATAACTCTGCT